TTCTGCTGGTGTGGAAGGGGTACATTAATTGGGTTCTTTGTTAGGTCCCCTTTTAGTGCTGATGTGGCTCAACCTAGATCCATTATTAGTAGCACTCAAGTAGAGTCAGCAAGCACAGCATACATACTGCCTTTTGCCCAACACTCATCACAACGTATACTTAATTTCCAAATTGAAGACCAGCATAATGCAATGTCTACTGAGGATGTGCTATGTGCTCAGAAGTATGGTTTGTTGCACTGTGAAGAAGCCTTTACATCATTTGATTTAATCCATATTATACCAGAAAAGGTGAGTAGTAAGTGTCCAATAATTTACAGAAAAATTTAGATGTGGTGCTAGCCTTTCTATTCTTCTCACACAGCTATAATATGACACTGCACAAGATCTAGAAAATTCTTTACACTCACCCCAAATAGGTCCTTTCAAAATCAAATTACAAGTCCATGCTGATCTCTTACACTGCAGCATATGTCTCCCCTGAGATTTTCGTACATCCTTAGTCCAAAGTATGTCCCTGTCTTACAAATTCCAGGTTGAGGCCATGTCTAGTTTGGATCGAACTTCTGTATTCTTTGCTTTGACAGAGAGGGAAGGAAAACAGGAAGAGAAATTCCTCTTTGGAAGCTGCTCTAATGCATCCTGAGGAACCTCAGACTTTGCATTCAGAATTCAGAGCTGCAGATTTAGGTCTCTAGAGAGGCATGAATTCAGTAGGACTCACTGCACATTTCCTGGCATTTAGGCAAGAAGAGAAGGCAGAAAGGGAGTTTATATGTCCAACTCAAAGCGCATTATCTTGTTCCTATTTGTGTCTGAGCCCCATGGTCGCTGAATCCATTTCAGTGCTAAAGATCTGAGATGCATTTAGAGAAAGGATAGAACTAGTGATTATTATCCTATGAGAGTGTATTCATAGGAATCTGGTCTATGTATGCTCTGGAGGGACAGTAGACACCAAAGAGGCCTAGAGAACTTACTGTGTGTAGATGTTGGCCAGTGAAGCTCTGTGCTGCAGACTTGCAGGTTATAGACTGTACGCTCAAGAAAGAATCTAGCGTTCAAAGCCCTTCTAATTTAGAAGTGTGGGCACATTTTATGTTTATGTTGCAGTTTTAATTCTCAGAAGTGTTCAGGACATATTAAAAGTAAAGAGTCTCCAACTCAGAAAACCTCTTCACAAAGGTAAAAGAGAATTAAAAGAAAACTGTCTTATTACTCAATTAAAGCAGAATGTGATGTGCACAGTGCCAATCCACTGAGACATTTCAGAGGCACACATAAAGTCGTTACTGTACATAACTAAACAAAACCTAACTTTTACATACATGTTATCTAGATAAATAATTAGCTTTGAAGAAAGAACAAAGAAGTCTACACAGACCTACATGTCATAAACTGTGCACCATAAACTTACTTGAACATTAGTGAGACTCTCTTTTTTTTGGTAATTGGTTAAATTCAAATAAAAAAAGTGTCTCAAGTCAATGCAGGAGGAGATAATTTTGCAACTTAAAGCTAGGTGTTCACTAAAATTAGGATCCCATCTACATATGGAAATTGTGAGATAGGAACTATCTTCCTTGATATTTCATTTCAAAGAGATGTTTCTCAGTTTCAGAAAAAGCATTTCTTAATTTTTTTTACATCTTTCAAAAGGGTTTACAAATATTAGGCAGATAGTTAGGATCTCTGGCTCTTTTTGGGACAATGGTGCCCTGTTTTCAGCAATTGCTCCACCTGGGGAGATGGATAAGGCTGCCATTCCATTTTGGTGCTGCTCCACCTTTAATTCTGTCCTGAGCCTCTTCTATACCTGAAGAAGGAGCGAATGCTTTATCAATCTAGCATTTCCCCAGCCAGGGCATAATTACCTTTACAAATTTACCTAAGGTATCCTAAGGATAATCAATACATGATTAGCTTTAATCTGCATTGCAGTTCACCCTCCCCATGGGCTTTCTTAGAGAGAGCTCCTATAGTTTGATGAAATTTACAAGACACATGTTGATTATTTGGTAAGAACCTACACCTTGGAAGATACAAATTCTGATGAAATAAAATTAATGAGCATGTTACAATTTTAAAGTAAAAAAATAAAAACCACACAAGAGCCTATCATTTCATGAGTGAATTATTAATATTTGGTATATGTTTATAATGAAATATTACTCAATTTTAAGAAATGACTGTGAGCTAGCACTGCTTATATTTTCCTGAATTGAGTGAGCCCATTATCTGAAGTGAAGTGACACAAGATCAGAAAAATGGGCTCCACATGTACTTGCCATCAAATTGGTACTGACTGATTAACACTATGGTACTCAAATGGTGGTGGTATTCACCAGGGATTCAGGGCATTGAGGGAAGACCCACATCTGAGGGATGCCTTGATCATCATTGAGGGTAAGGACATACCTCTAACACTCGCTAGGGAGAGGCAAAGATATAAAATGTCACTATAATTTTTGTATTCTCATATTTTCTTGAAATAAAAAAATAAAAATAAAAACCATACATCTTTCCTAAACTTTATAAAAATACCAAATATTGAGTCACAAAGCAAATATATAGGTCCATCAAGTAATGGTTTCAAAGTAATTTTGGCAAAAATGTCAAGTATATTTAAAAATTATAAATATATCTATAAATTTTGACTTAGTAATCTCATGCCAGGAAGGAAGGGTTAGGGTGACTTTAGGGAAAATTTAAAATTTAGAAAAATTATGCATTAAAAAATATAAATTATTATATTGTGTATAATGGTAGCATTGGAAGATTACATTTTAATAGAAATAATTGTGGAAGGATACCATGGTTTTTCTATTTAGAGTTTTATGAAATTTAAAGAGTGCAAAAACTGGCATATTGTACCCTTTGATTTTCTCTTTCCTTATCCCACTCTCTGTGGTAACCACACTTCCCACTATGAAATCAGCTTTCTTACGATTCCACAGATAAGTTAGATCATACAGTATTTGTCTTTCTATGACTGGCTTACTTTACTTAGCATCATGTCCTCCAGTTAAAAACATGTTGCCACAAATGACAGACTTTCATTCTGTTTGAAGGCTCATTTTGAAAATGCACCTGATTTTCTTTATCCATTCATGTGCTGATGGACAGGTAAGCTGCTTCTATACCTGGGCTAGAATGAATATTGTTGTAATGAATATGGAAGGACAGATATATCTTCTACATACTGGTTTTGCTTCAATTGAATATGCATCTAGAAATGGGAGTGATGGATCATATGGTAATTCAATTTTCATTGTTGAGGAATCTCTATACTATTTTCTACATTGGCTGTAATGAGAAAATAGATTTTTAAGACTCAGAAGGGAGGATGGCGGTTGGAATTGAGGGATCAAATCTTATCTACTGGGTAAAACCTATATTCGTTGAATGAATGATACACTAAATGTCCTGAATTTAACAATATATAAATCATAGATTCATCAAAGAAAAAAATAGGACTGGTACCCCCTAAATTTATTGAAATACAAATAAATTTGACTGTCTTAATTTATATTCACAGCAACAATATGCAAGTGTTTCCTTTCCTCCACATCCTCACCAGCACTTAACATTCATCATATTGAGAACAGGCATTCTCACAGGTTTTAGGTAATAGCTCATTGTGGCTTTAACTTTCATTCCATGATGATTAGATAGGTTGAGCATTTTGACATATATCTGTGGAACATTCATTTCTGTCTTTTGAGAAATGTCAATTAGTTTCATGATATCTTTCCTAAAGTATGCCTAGAAAAAATCATCACACTGTGTCCGACACATACATATACAATTATTTGTCAATTAAAAACAAAACATAGCAAAATAAATAACAATGACCAAATAAGATGATTGCATAGGAATAAGAAATGGATATTTGATATAGTACACAAATAAGCCATATTCCAAATGTATTATATTGGAGTACAAATACTGAAATGAATAAAAGGAAGAAAATCACCAATTTACATATCAACTTTCCAGACAGAATCATTTCTTTTTGTCTATTATCTGTCCCTCAAAATATCTGGCTTCACAATTAAATGCATATGAATATGTCTCTCTACATATGGTAAATCCCACCATTTCAATGTATATGTTTCATTGTTTTAGATTTGGATTTTCAGTGGAAAGTTAAATATGTCATATTCCCTATTTTCTGAGAGCCCACCTGGGGGCTCCAAAGACATCCCTGTTTGTCAGGTTGTAGATGAGAGGGTTGAGTATTGTCATTAAGATGGTGAAGATGACAGAGACCACTTCTCCTTCTCAGCAGAATGGGACTTTGGTAGAAGGTACTTGGTAATGGCATCCACATAGAATAGGGACTCCAGGGGCATGTGAGAGAAGTAAGTAGCCAGGATTTTCATGTGTCTCATGCTTGTGACTGTCACCAGTCCAGTGGACAGCATTGATACATAGGAGGCCATAATAGCTAAGATAGGAGGGAAGAGAAAAATAACAGCATGGATAATAAGACCCTTATATAGAGGGAAGTGTCATCAGAGACTATTTTAAATACAGCTGGGATCTCAAAAAGAAAATAACGACCTTCCCTGGAGGTGAAGTAATGGAAAGTCAGAGGGCAGAGCACATAGATCAAGGTATTGAGCACTGTGCTCAGACAAGAACTAGAAAAATGTAGGCAGAGATATAACTGTTCACACAGGAGATTTCCAAACCCAAGGAATTAACCTTTCTATTTGAACTAATTGTTTAATCGAGCTCAGGGTGTAAAGAGAGTTTGTGCTGGCTGTGCACAGTGGCTCACACCTGTAATCCTAGCATTCTGGGAGGCCAAGGCAGGAGAATCACTCAAGGTCAGGAGTTTGAAACCAGCCTGAGCAAGACCTTGACCATGTCTCTACTAAAAATAGAAAGTAATTAATTGGCCAAATAAAAATATATAGAGAAATCAGCAGGGCATTGTGGCATATGCTTGTAGTCCCAGCTACTAGGGAGGCTGAGGCAGAAGGATTGCTTGAGCCCAGAAATTTAAAGTTGCTGTGAGCTAGGCTGATGCCATGGCACTCTAGCCTGGGCAACAGAGTGAGAGTGCTGCTTTTGTCATTCCATTTGTCAGTCATAAGCAAGGGAACTCTGATATTTACCAAGAGATTCATAATCCAGCACAGAGCATGAAAGGGGTTTTAATGCTTTTATTTGAAGCTAAAGACACCTGGACTTCCTGGTGCTGATCATTATGTTATGGAAGACACTGAAGAGGTATGTGGTGCTCACTGTCTCACCTCTGGCCACTGTGACCATACAAAACAGGATTGGATCCAAAATCACTAATAAAATTTTCAATCAAAAAGTCGCCATGATCCCTGAGATAACCCTAGAGAGAATGACCGAATTGTCAGCCAGGGTAGATGACTAAAAATGAGAACTGTGTACTGCACCCTGCACCTACTAAAATAAACGAAGATAAAGTTATGCAAAATAAATTCTCTAAGATAGAAATACCAGATAGATTATTCCAAATATTTTCAATCCAGAGAAATCATTCTATTATATTCTAACACTGAAAATACACACTGATAGATTGTAGATGGATGCATATGTTGTACTATAAGTAATTCTTAGAAAATTAAATTCAATCCTATTTACCTAAACTCCCTATTGAGAGATTGCCAAGTTCTCATATTTCTTTATATAGTACTTAAGATATGCATCAAACTTATTAATGCTTCATTTATTGTAATTATTTTCATAATTTTGACATTATATGTTAGGATCTAGTAACAGTTTGCTTTTACAAAGCAAACAATGCTGAGTTCTTGATTTAATCCTCTGGCCTTCAGAATTGTTTATCTTTCATAGGACTTTAAGGCTCTTACTTTAACCTTAGGACAATGAATTTCTCTAATCTTAATTAAATAATCAGAATGCTATATGTATAGCCTGTAAATGGTCTCAAGCTTTCTAGTTAAAATGTTTTTTTCCTCCAAATTAAAAATACTCTACACTTCTCATCAAAACTTTTTAAAAACTGTGTGAACTGGCTGGGGGTGAGTACAACAGTGAGAATATCGTAGCCCAAGCACAGGAAGAAAGAAGAATGGCTTCGATACAGTTGTAGAAGGGAAGATAATGAAGATAAAAAATGGGAAAAACTGGAGATAATTATGAAATGAAAGAAGCAGAATTTCCACTTATAAATTCCGAGGGGTGGTTGTTCTGTTTGTCCCTTTGCTCCACATGTAAAATAAATGACTTTTTTTTTAACCTGGACATATTCAATCTCTTCTCTGGAGTCACAAGCTCACTCCCACAGAAATATTGACTGCTAATTATTAAGCATCTAGTACATATCTAAGACTGTCCTGTACTTATTTTTTCTATTTAAATATAAAATAAACTCTATAATTTATAAACCCCTATTAGTGTTTACCTGAACAAAGTAGCCTGATAAAGTCAATAAATCAATTAGTTCGATGACCAAAAGTAAAAGAAAGAGTAACCAAAAAGTGCTTTCAATATACTTCCCTAATTAGAATGAAAATATAGAATGTAATAAGTAAAATGTAATTACTACATGGTGGAATTACTCATACCTTCAGGTATTTTTATGAGCATCATTAGGTTTTATAACAATCTTTGCTGTAATTGCAGATCAGATCATATAAACAATACTTAATAAACTTTGAAATAATAAAATAACATAGTAGGCTTAGCATGAGTAATAAGCATGTAAGAACAGGGGATTAACATGGGCAGGTTCCCATTCAGAAGCTTCAGGGTTTTAAACAATTAATTCAACATAAAGCGAACAAAATATTTCCTTTCAGAATCTTTGAAGTTTCTAGTTTGCTAGTAAATTCTCAACACTTTTGAAATTACCCATTTTGTCTAATATTTCTTCTTTTCTGTTCAAAATAAGTATACATCCACAGTCACACAAACATACTTACTCTGTAAATATACTACAGCTATAGTTCAAGTTAACCGTGATGTATTTGTATATTTGATTCAATATAAATAAAAAATATGCTTATTTCTATTTCACTGGCGAGGCAGGCTGCATGTTAAAAGAAAAATATAGGATAGAATGTAACTGGTCATTCCGTGTTCAGAAATGCATGGCTTTTCATTAAGTGCAAAATCTTTATTATAAGCATTACAGCAACAATATAATTATAAATATAATGAAAAAAAAGCTTTGGGAACAATATTCTTCAAAGTAGAGCAACTAATAAAAAGGATCACAAATGATGTCTTTGTACTGTGTAACCCAATAGTACATTTTTACAATCCATTTCCTCCAACTTTGAGTAACATGGTATAGGTTAAAGTTGGTGCAAAATAACACTTCATTCTATATACAACATGTTTGACACATTAAAAATATTTTTAAAATTTAATGAAACAACATAAGTTTACATGTTATCTAAAAACATTCCAAATTTCATTCTATGTTATTACCATAATGTTAAATTATAAAACAACTTATTTCTTATATTGTAATTTTTTCATTCTGATCATAATGAGAAGAATATTAGTCTGTATACCTACACCATACATCACTTGAAATACTGTTTGTCATAAGAAAGCTCCATAGTACCTCTCCATTTCATAAATCTTACATTTCAGTGTTTTTAATTTTCCATGGAAAAGTACATCAATAATGCCTATGTAATACACAAAGACTTCTAATAAATGTGATGTAGCTATCATTAACCACACACATATTCACATACATGCTAAGAATGAAAGCATATCATCTTCTGTATTTAAAGTTGAATACTATCAGTACTGGCTTGTCAAAAAGAGCAAAAAAATTATGCTTTATTACATTTTCACCCCACCCTGACCAGAAAGTATATTTTACATGTAATTATAACTCTCAGAAAATCTCTCTCTTTTTTAAAGCTGACATACAAATAAATCAACTAACTATTTTAACTGGGTTATTCTCTATAATCAACAACCTGGTTTAAAGAAATGTGTGAATGTGTTAGTGCATTAGTGTATTGCACTGTGAGTCCTCTGATATATGTTTAGACTTGATTCTTGATTAATTGCATTCTGAAACTTATTAAAGAATTTTAAGTATCAATTGTTGATCTCTAAGGTATATCTTTTGCATAAATATTTTTTCACATTCATTATATTTGTAAGGTTTCTATCCCTTAAAATTTTTGTGATCTTGAGCAATGTTTGAGAAAATTTTGGAGGATTTCTTTCAGTGTAAGTTATCCCATGTCTGATAAGATCTCTGTTATAACTAAAGGTATTGTCAGCACTCTACATTATTAGTGATTACTTTAAGTATAAGTACTGTTGTGCATTTTAAGACTAATACTTTGGTAAGGCACTTACATACTCATTACATTTATCTAACTTTTATCTAGTATGATTTCTTTGATGTTGAATAAGATGTGAGTAGTTAATAAAGACATTGCCACAATTTTCACATTCGTAGAATTTTTCTCTGATATGAATTATTTTATGTAGAATAAGGTATGAGCACTGGGAAAATGCTTTGTCACATTCCTCATATTTGTATGGTTTCTCTCCTGTATGGATTCATTTATGTAGAATGAGGTCTTTTAGCTGGATAAAGGCTGTGCCAGATTCTACACATTTTTAGGGTTTATCTCCAGTATGAATTCTTTTATGTTGAGTAAGTGTTGAGCACTGGGTAAAGGCTTTGCCACATTCCTCACAATTGTAGGGTTTCTCTCCTGTATGAATTCTTTTATGTTGAGTAAGGTGTGTGTACTGGGTAAAGGCTTTGCCACATTCTTCACATTTGTAGGGTTTCTCTCCCGTATGAATTATTTTATGTTGAGTAAGGTATCTCCACTGGGTAAAGGCTTTTCCACATTCTTCACATCTGTATGGTTTCTCTCCTGTATGAATTCTTTTATGTATAGTAAGTTTTGTACACCAGGTAAAGGCTTTGCCACATTCTTCACATTTGTAGGGTTTCTCTCCAGTATGAATTCTTTTATGTTAAGTAATGTTTGAGGACTGGTTAAAGGCTTTGCCACATTCTTCACATTTGTAGGGTTTCTCTCCAGTGTGAATTCTCTTATGTACAGTAAGTTTGGAGGAATGCTTAAAGTCTTTTCCACATTCTTCACACTTGTAAGGATTCTCTACCATATGAATTTTCTTATGTCCGGAAATATTAGATCTATGGTTAAATGTTTCACTACATTCATTACGTTTGAAATATTTCTCTCCAGTATGTCTTGTCTTGTATCTATTTAGATTTGATGATTTGCTAAAGACTTTTATGCACTTATAACATTTGAAGATTTTTCTATGACAAGTTGACAAACATTGAGTACGACCATCATAACATGCTTTCTGCTTCTTACACTCACCCACACACTCCATGTCTCTTCTTAAGTGTATATTTTCAAGGCCACAGCTTCCATATAGTCTCATTATTGATTTCTGAAATGGGTCTTTTATGCCCTGCTCTGGCAATAGGTCTCTGGTGCAATAGGAAGACAGTTCTGAAAGAAATGACAATAACAAAGTATCTCATTAACCAGACTCAGGTAAGTGTACTTCAAAATGTAAATATATAAAAGTATAGAAAGCACATTAGAAAGAAAGTACAATGGAATACCATGGTCTTACTTCCATCATAGATGTATCACCTTAAAGTATAATTACAACTATGATTCTTTCAGAAATCATAACTGCCAATTGTTCATAGCTCCCCAGATAAGAAAAAACACTAAGGATCACATAGAAGGGGAAGCAAACTTTGTTGCATTTACCCACCAAAGCCCTTCCTCCATGCTGATACTGAGTTATCACTTTAGTAGAAAAATCCCATCTCCTGGATTCCCTTTCAAAAGAGAATGATACTATGGGCACATGTCCACACATCTGGGTTTTTTTTTATGGCTTTTCCAAAGGCTGGTTTTTATCTCCCTTGACAACTACATAACTTTCTGGGAAAAATATGCACATATCAAGAATAAAATTCTGCATTATCATAATGATGGTGCAAAACACTTAATTATGCTATAACATTTGAAAGGCAAAATAAGAAAAATGATAATTACCATGTGTTAATTTGTATACAATATAAAAAGACATAATTGTTGACATCAATATCATTTTTTAATTTCATCATATTATGGAGGTACAAATATTGTTAGAGTTACAAATATTGCTCCTGCCCCCTCCCTCCCCCCGAAATGTCCAATCCCCGGTTGTGGCATCGCACACATTATGGAAACATACATCCCTTTCCTCCTCCCCACTCCTGCCTGCCCACCACTGCTAAAAAGTTTTTTTTTTTTTTAACATTTTGGTTACATTGTATATCCTTGCCTCTCCCTAAGAAGGGTTAGAGTTATGCCCTCCCCCTCTAAAATGCTCATCCCATACCTAGATTGGGCCCCCCCACCAGATGTCTGGTGGGTATTGCCACCATTTGAAAACCAAAGTTTAAATCAGTCAGTACCAATTTGATGGCGAGTAGATGTGGAGCCCATTTTCCATGTCTTGTGTTGCCTCACTTTGGATAACAGACTTAAGCTTAATCCAGGATAGCATAAATGGTGCTAGCTCACTGTCATTTCTTAGGATTGATTATATTCCATTGTGAGCATATACCACATGTTAATTATCCACTCATGAATTGATGGGCACTTGGGTTGTTTCCATGATCATACAATAGTGAATTGTGCTGCTATAAACATTCTTGTGCAGATGTCTTTATAATAGAATGTCTTATGCTCTTTTGGGTAGATGCCTAACAATGCTATTGCAGGGTCGAATGATATTTCTATTTCTAGCTGTTTGAGGTATCTCCAAATTCTTTTCCACAAATGTTGCACTAATTTGCAGTCCCACCAGCTATGTAGAAGTGTTCCTGTCTCTCCGCATCCTCGCCAACATTTGTTGTTTTGGGATTTCTTGATATAGGCCATTCTTACTGGGATTAGGTGGTATCTCATTGTGGTTTTGATTTGCATTTCTCTAATAATTAGAGAAGTTGAGCATTTCTTTATATGTTTGCATGCCATTATTCTGTCTTCTTTGGAGAAGTTTCTTTTCATTTCTGTCGCCCATTTCTTGATGGGATTGTTTGATTTTTTCTTGTTAATTTTTTTAAGCTCAAGATAGATTCTTGTTATTAGGCCTTTATCAGAGGTGTAGAGAGCAAATATTTTGTCCCACTCTGTGAGTTGTCTATTTGCTCTACTGATGGTTTCCTTGGCTGTGCAGAAACTTTTTAATTTGATCAGATCCCATTTGTGTATTTTTGATGCTGCGGTGATTGCCTTGGGGGTCTTCCTCAAAAATTCTTTGCCTAGGTCAATGTCTGATAGGGTTTTCCCAACATCTTCTTCTAGGATTCTTAAGGTTTCATGTCTTAAGTTTAAGTCTGTTATCCATCTTGAGTGAATTTCTGTGAGAGGTGAGAGGTAGGGATCCTGATTTGCTCTTCTGCATGTAGCTAACCAGTTTTCCTAGCACCATTTATTGAAGAGAGATTCTTTTTTCCAATGTATATTTTTGTCAGCTTTATCAAACATTAGATTGTCGTATACTGATGGTTTCATCTCTGGTATCTCAGATATATTCCAGATATCTATGCTTCTGTTCTTGTGCCAGTCACAGGCTGATTTAACTATTATTGTTTTATAGAACAGCTTGAAGTCAGGAAAACTGATGCCTCCCAGTTTGTTCTTTCTATTTAAGATTGCTTTGGTTCATCAATCCAAGAATGGATTAATAAAATGTGGTATATGTATACCATGGAGTACTATTCAGCTCTAAGAAACAATGGTGATACAGCACATCTTATATTTTCCTGGTTAGAGCTGGAACCCATACTACTAAGTGAAGTATCCCAAGAATGGAAAAACAAGCACCAGATATATTCTCCAGCAAACTGGTATTAACTGAGTACCACCTAAGTGGACACAT